AGGCGTGCCGCAGCATTGCAAAACCGTGCGCCGCTTTGCACAATGCGGCCACGCCTCACATTTTCGAAATTCGTTTTCAAAATTTTTGTCCTTTTGCTTTTTCTCAATGAATTTTCAAGATTTTTTGTGTTTTTTTTTGTCAAAAATTAAAGAATTTTTTTCAAAATTAAAGGAAAAATGTTTTTAAAAAATAAAGGAAAAATTTTCATATTTATCATCAAAATCGAAACCAAAAATAAATTGATAGCATTCGAAAATTTTAAAATCGATACGATGTTTTCAAATCGTTTCCGACACTTTTAAAATCGAATTTAAATATTTTCTCAATCGAATTGTGTTTAATTTCTCATCGAATCCGTTTTATTTTTATTTACTTTAACATATTTTTTATTATCGCTCGCTTTTTTCTTTTAATAAAACATAATGTTTTGAAATTTTTTACAAATGAAGACAAGATCGAGAGTGTTGTCAGATATAACTGAAACTGCTCTAGAAGTCAATAACAAAGAACCAGAAGTCCCTAACATGGAACCAAATTCGCTCGACACTTCAGATCCAGATAGTCCAATTTACTCGCCAACTCAGCAAAAAAATTTTTCTCCACAGTCCTCACAAACAACAAAATCAACGCCAATTCCTAAACCTTCGTACGCCCAATTTGTAAGTTGTTATCATCAAAAATTAGCCTGTTCGACTCCAGAAATGGTTTCAATTAGAAAAATATGCGCAATGAAGTCTTTATAAAGTACTTCCTAAGTTTAAAGCTTGTTGATTATTTGGTTCCAATCAGGGCTGTGCGGCAATGGAATTGCCGATTGCCGAAATTGCCGGTTTTTCAAATTGCCGAAGAAAATTTCGATCGGTAATTTGCCATTAGCCGAATCGCCGAAATTTCCGATTGCCGTACAGCCTTCGTACCAATATCATTCAGTGGCATTTATCTTTTTAAGTGGGGCTCTAGTACAGAAGTCGCCAGACGCCGACTATATAAAGATCCTATACTTTATTGCAAATATCTATATTACAGATGCTCTTATCCATGGCTTTGGGCAACAACCGACAAATGACTTCAAAGCGAAAGCATTACGCATGGTTCGAGAAGTCATGGATAATCTTCTGTAAGATTTTGAACTATGACTATTAATTTATTTATTTGATTAAGCGATAGAATGCGCCAACGACTTCAAAGGAAATTTGGTGTAGCGCCGGAAGCGCTCGCGGCGCAATTAAGGAAGCTGCTTGATTCTACCAGCAACCCTCAGATGTGAGTATTCATATGTCTTTGAAATTTTAACCAAAATGCCTTTTTGCTTCAAATTTTGGAGTTGTTCTTTCTTCCGCCAATTCACTTTTTATTTTGTGCACTAAAGGGTTTCCAAAAATGCAATAAAAATAAATTATTTTTATTTTTAAGAAAATTATTGATGTAAAAAAACTGATTGTATTTTCTCGAAAAATTTAGTTTACGTAACAATGGTTTACAAGTTTTTCAAATTAATAGGCCCATTATAATCTACTTATTACAGCGTCCCGCTCGATGTCAGTACTGACAATGATTCGAATAGTTCGGCAGTTGCCAGTAACTAATGGTTTGATTATATCTTAATTGAAATTCATTTCATTGTTGTTTTTTTTTATTTTAAATTAAATAAATGTGTTAATATGAAATAAATTTTGAATACAGCAATCAAATTGTTTTCTTATTTTCCCATATGGAAGGCATACGGCTCATTCCATATACGAAACACGCGGTTCCGCAAAAAAATGCTTCCATTATGCTTCCATATAACTTGCATATAAGATTCCTATGATATCCACAGCCGTTCCACTATGCTTCCATTGTGCCTATGCCGCCGTTTATCTGTGTTGTACGATTGGCACCAAGGCGATGACACATCGGTGAGGGGGTTGGTTGATTTGAGGAAGGGAGAGGACATGGGAAATGTGGGTTGAATGAAAACCCGAAATTAAATATTCTTTGGAAATATATGGCGACTTTTGTATCTAATTGAATGGGTTGCGAAAAAAGTGCACTTTTTGCGAACAATATTTTCAAGAACATTGAAGCCTAATTAATGAATAAAAAAAGACAAACCGACTGCTGGTTGTAAGGCTTGCGACGGTCCGCGCCAAGACAAGACGTACAAATGCAAAAAGTGAATAAAAAGTAGCAAATTTAAAAGTTCCAAATGGCCAAATTCAAAAGTTTCATATATTTCCTAAAAAAGCTGCCAAAAGCCATTTCAGGCAAGAAATTTTTCCTAATCAGGATCGTTGTTTTCTTTTTTCATAACCTAAATTATTCGATAATATTTCTAGAAATTTCATTTAGACCAAAGGACAAAAAAGTGGTGCAAAAACAGGACGTAGAAAAATCAAAGAAACACACTGTGACTAATTGGCAACGGCTAGCTAGTTGAGAATTTAGGCCCAAAAACGGCAAAGAAGTGGAAGTGACGATGAAGATCAAATTATTGAAACAACCGCCACTCGGCAAACTTTTTTCTCGGCCCCAACATTTTCTGTTATTTGCGAATGAAAAAATTGAGGGAATGAATGAAAACAATTCGGGTGATTTTTTTAAATGAACATTTTTAGTCAACAAAATATAAATATTGATTTGTTTTTCTCCATAAATGGTTTGGTGTTTTCGCAAATAAATAAGCGGCAAAAATTGTTTTGTGTGTCGCATAATCAACGAGTTTGATTCGAATTATTGTGTCCTTGTGAACGAGCCAACGTAGAGAATATATTTATTAGACACAAATATGAATAACTGATTATTGAGCGTAAAAAGGGGTTTTTATATCGCTCCTATGAAACGTGTGCCACGTGGTGTGTAACGTGACGTGTCGAGGTCACGGCTCCAACACAAAGGAATTATTAGATTTCAATTTAATCAGACGATTTTTTTCCGGTTTTCACATCAAATCATTCTGACTCAGATAAAAACTCATTCTAATCGATCACATAAATAGAACTTTAGAAAAATCGCAATAGAGAACATTTTTGCGTGGAATCTCCAGATTATTTAAAATAAGTTTTAGTGGATCATCTCGTATTTTTCCGAGAAACTATGGTTTAGCTGTCGAATTTTGGTTAATCTTGCTAGTAATTTTGTAAATAATTGCTAGTTTAATTCGAAGAAAAGCAAAAAGAAATAATTTGAAAAATTTGCGAATATTGTGGAAATCAGGATAGTAGAGTTGGTCTACTGTAATCTCGCCAACATAAGTGTCGATTTACGCCACGTTGTTAAGTGGTGCGTTCTCCGTGTGAAGTACACAACACACCTCTCGTCGTCTCAAGGCCATTTCTGGCATTTTGCCAATTTGCCGCATTTCCAAAAACAGCATCTGGAGAGCTTTGAGATGTTAAAGTTCGAACCACACCGCCGTATAACTCGAAATTTGAATTACCGCCCGGAAAAAAATGCGATGGTCCACAATTGCTCAAGATGCTCATTTTTATTTTCCATGGTAATATCTCGTAAATCGACACACATTTTGCTCAATAAAGAGTGCAATTTGAAGTCACGCGATTTCAACAATGGTTTAATGGAATATGAAATTTTCAGAAGACGTGAGGAATTCAAAAAGAAGGAAAAAATAATGATGTATCGGAATGTTGTGATTCTCATTTTACACTTTTGCATGCCAGACTCTTAATTTTTCAGTTTTTGATAGAGGAATGCTAATGGAAAATAATAATTTTGTGTGCAATATAATAAAAGAAATTTCAGCTTATTTAGGAAAGAAAGGAATGGGTTACCTTATAAGTCCAGTAGCTGAATAATGGAACCTGCATGATCTGAAAAAAGGAATAATAGATGAGTTTTAAACGAAGTTGTCGAAAAGTCATCGAACAAAACCATAATTGTTTTCTTGCTCATTTTAACTCAATTTTTTCATTTTTTACTGGTCCTTTTGAACCAAAAAAATTAGGCAACGCTCGAAAAAAAGCGGCGAACGCGGCAATCGAGAATTAGTCAAAATATGAGTTTTTGTTGGTTGCCAAATCAATCATGGAAAAAAAACCAATAAATTGCGAGTATTTCTCGGCGCGGATTGAATGATATCAGCACATTCTTAATCCCTAATCTTCATCAGCTTTTGTGTTGAATTAGGCGCCATTGTATGTATTTTTGAAGTTGTTGATGGAAAACATACTAAAATAACCGGACAACAGAATTTCTGGAATTTTTTTCATCATCAGTAAATAGCTAGTCTCAAAATGTCATTTTTGGCAAGGCTATGAAAAGTACGATGACCGGAAAACGTCCGCGGAATTTGCCTTGAAACCTCACTTTCTGGGGGTCCGGCTCTTGAAGGGAAACGAGGTCTCATAGCTCCCCCTCCCATCGTATGAGGCCGACCTTCCACCCCCCATTTTGACATTCGTGTTTGGCGGAAAAAAGATATGTTGGAGACATGACAATTTCTGTTTAAATTTGCCGGATTTCGAATTTTTTTTCAAATTCAGTATGAATTTTCAAATCGATCGCAAGTTGTAAAAGGAAGATAGAAAATAATGCCATTTCACTTCGCGATTTCTTCGAATTCTTCGAAAGACTCGTAAGGCTGTAATTAAGAGTTTGCTTAAACAAACAATAGTTTGTTCGAATTTCTTTGAAGGGATCTCGCGGATGAAATTCAATGTATTTCGAACCAGTTTCGATCAGAAATTCTTCAAATTTGACTCAAACCTATTCTAATTGAAATATCGATTCGCCCATTTAAAAATTCAGCAATCTATTCTACTAGCATTGCAGAAAAATGTTCTCAATTCCATTTTATATATATTTCTTCAATTTTAAATACAAAACATTTGCAAAATTTTCCAAAATTTGTTGTCCGACCCATCATTCATTATCAACAATTTTCATTTCGTCTCAAACGCATAATTTTGGATGGAATCGAAGTCATGTGCTCGGCGAGAGTTATCAACCCAAAAATTCGGTGATAAATAGCGAAAATCGACGACATTTCTAATCAGTCGGAATGCGAACTGCCACCTTTCTGCTCCTGATTTTTGCTCTTTTCTTCCAAGGTAACCACCAATGCGGAACAATTCAATTAATTGCTTCTTAATTAGGGTCAAATGCGGTCACAGAATGTGAGGAATGCACTGCAATAGTCGATCTGCTGAGATTCAGATGGGGCGATGAACACACGGAAGATTGTATCGGTTGGTGAATTAGCAGATCAACTGCATCAGACTTGATCGAGTTTCAGTGGAAATCGCCAAATTCATCTGCGATACTTTTCACATTGAAGACAACGATGTTTGCAACTACATCGTGTCGGATTTCTCGGTTCGTCCAAAATAGATTCTAGTTTGTGACTTTTTTTTGAGAATTCAGGACGAATTTATGTACGTTATCAAGCAAATTCTAATCACACCGCACCAACTATGCGGCTTGTTAATGCACAATGGTATTGAAAACAAAGAACCCCCCAAAATATGAGAATGTGTTGAGATTGTGGTGAATTTGTCGATCCATTATTGGAAACATGGAACATTACAATTCCCGGAAATCAGCCACCATTCATTCCGCAAAAGGCTGTTCCTGAAGGAAAGCCGACACTTCGAGTCCTTCATCTTACTGATCTGCACGTCGATATGTATTATACCCCAGGTCTTGAAGTCGAATGCGACACCCCGCAATGTTGTAGACCACAGGATTTGAATGTGGTAACAAAGTATCGATGAATTGTGCTTGTTCAATTCGCATTCAGGAAATAACAGAAAACGTCCGTGTTCCAGCTGGACAATGGGGAAATGTTGGAAACTGCGACACTCCTTATTGGCTGTTCACCAATATGCTCGAACATATCACAAACACTAGTGGACATGTAAACCCAATGGGAATCATCTCGAAAATAATCATTGATTAACAGCTTGATTATGTGATGGTCTCCGGTGATCTCGTTTCGCATACGGTTTGGGCTTACACACCCGAAACTCATTCGTTCATGGTCCGCAATTTGTCGAGCACAATTCGCGCGTATTTCCCAAATACGCCGGTCTATTTCGCTGTTGGCAATCACGAAGGAGTTCCGATCGACAAGTATTTTTTATTTCAGACGATTTTGATAATTGGTTTTGATTTCAGTTTGGCTCCACATTTCACACCAAAGAAATACCATCCAGATTGGCTTTATGACACAATGGCTGAGTCGTGGAAAGGATGGGTTCCTGAGGATCAACAAAAAGAGCTTAAATAGTGAGCAATTTGATATATAAATTCTACCGGCATATAATTTTGCTCATTTTTCAGCAATGGATGCTATATGAAGAAAATTTATCAAGGATTGCGGATCATCTCACTGAACAATGTTTATGGAGATAGAATGAACTTGTAATCGAATTCGAAAAAATAATTAGAAATAATTGTTTTCAGCTGGCTTTATATCAATCAAACCGATCCGGATGGCACTCTTGCGTGGCTGATCAAGCAGCTTTCGGATGCCGAGAAAGCTGGAGACAAGGTTCACATCGTTGCCCACATTCCTGGAGCCGATGGAGAAGCCCTCGAAGGATACGCAATCAATTACTATCGAATCATTAACCGGTTTGCAAACACTGTCGTCGGGCAATTCTTCGGGCATACGCATTCGGAAAAATTCTACATGATGTACGCTGATCCGGATGATTATAAATCGACACCAACAAAGTAGTAATGAATGTCGAAAAAATGTGGAATAATCATTTTCAGTGTGGTTTATTCGGCACCATCAGTCACCACTTATTCAGATTTCCATCCGGCCTATAGAATTTATACAATTGATGGTGATTATCCAGGATCAACATATGTTCGTTTTAATTATTAAAATATAAAATAAAATAAAATATTTTTTAGCAAGTCATCGATTTCGAGGAATGGTTCTTCAATTTGACTGAAAATAACCGCGATCCATGGAATGCGCAATGGAAACAATTGTACAAATCAGCAAATTTGGAATACGGTATCTAGTTGTTCATTTTAAGGACATCATTTATAAGCTGAGGTTTGTAGGCTTGAAATCGCAAATTCCATCAGAATGGAACAACTTGATCGAGAGAATGAAGACTGATCAGAATCTGTTCACGAAATATTATCAGTAAGCGAATATTTAAATTACTGTTCAATTCGATTATTCAGCAATATCTATCGTCGCGACTATTTCGACGGTCTTCATGAATGCACCAGCCAGAGCTGCAGAAATTCGCATCTTTGTGATGCTCGAAAGTTCCATCAAACCAACAAGCTGTGTGCGGATTTGGAAGGTTTTTTTTTTAAGATTTCTTATTTTTTTCTGAAATCATGCATTTTTTAGGTGCCGATAATGTGAAAATAAAAGAAAAAAAGAGTCCAAATTATACTGCGAGATTCCGTTCGAAAAACACTCGACGCGATAATCATGATTGTAAAATTTGAAAATATGGGTGACGGTTGTTTTATTCAATAAATAATTCAACACAATAAATTATTTCTTCGATTTCTTTTCTCCAAATACGTCAGGTGCCATTGCCAGTGTATCGTATTCCGATAGATCACTTGCCACTTTTTCATTCTTCAATTATTCTCCTAATTTGGCTGAATATTTCTAATAACTTACAGTATCCTTTGGTGGTTTTATAGTGGGATAATTTGACAGCGGATTTTTGACTGGCACATTACCAGGAGTCGGCCCCAAAACTGTTGGCGGACCAGTTTTTTCTAAGTATTTGATTTCTGAGCTGTCTGTGGTGACAGAATTTGAAACCGTCTGAAAGCCCTACTATTGAATTTCAAGCCCCTTTAGTCCAACCTTTTTCGCTCCTGGTGGTCCAAATGATTCTTTACCGCGTGAATTAGTTTTCGAACATTCTTCAGGAAATTTCGGAAAAATCAAACTGTTAACGATCCCCATTTTCGATAAATAATTGCTTCCAAATGACTGATGTATGTGAGACAACGACAATACGCTGAAACGCGTGACCTTTCTTTATCGTATTTTGTTTGCGTTCAAACGTTCCGCACATTTTGAAATTTCGTCAATAATTGAAATATTTTTCATTTTAACATGATTGTTGTTTTTTTTTTAATCAAATTAAAAATTATATTTTTGAATTTTTTCAACAAACAACCTTGCCAATTTTATTTACCACCAATCAATTTCGTTTTATCGTTAAATCAATGTTCTTATCACATGTTCACTTCAAACACATATTTACAGGTAATGGCTGCCGCGAAACGAATCATTGCTAGAATCAATCCATCAAACAGTGCTCTGTTTGTTTGTGATCTTCAGGAGAAGTTCAGGTTTAAAATAATTTGTGGTCGCTCGCAAATTAAAATAAAAACTAGCTTTCAGCAAGAATATTCAATATTTCAACGAGATTGTTCAAACATCCCGCCGACTAATTGATGCCGCCAAAATTTTGAATATGCCCACGGTGGTCACTGAGCAATATCCGAAAGGTCTCGGACACACCGTGCCACTTCTGAAGGAGGGTCTCGCCGAAAATACGCCAATTTTCGACAAATCTCGAGTAATTTCACCTTTTGTGTTTATTTACGACTGATGCATTGTTTTAGTTCTCCATGTGCCTTCCCCAGACCGAGGGATTTTTGAAAAACGTGCAAAACGTCATTCTCGTCGGAATTGAGGCTCATGTTTGTGTACTTCAAACAACGTAAACACCTTATCCTTGTGTAAATTGCAAATATATTCCATTCAGCTACGATTTGCTTGAGCGCGGCCATAATGTGCACGTTGTCGTGGATGCCGTTAGCAGCCGATCGCACACCGACAGGTTTTTCGAAGTGTCATGTGTTAGTGTCAAAAAATTATGCTTGAATTCAGACATTTTGCCTTCAAGCAAATGGAGCAGGCAGGAGCTGTCTTGACTACTTCTGAGTGCGCCATCCTCGGACTCGTCGGAGGTTCAGATCATCCAAATTTCAAAGAGGTTTCAAAAACATCGGAATACGACTAACTGTGATCTTTCAGATTCAAAAACTCATTATGACGTCAGCCCCAGACACCGGTTTGGTTCCAGCTCATAAACTCTAAAATATATAATTTAATAATTGTATAGATTCAAGTAAATATGTAGTTACGTTTCGAAACGGTGCCACGAACATAAGAAAGGTGCTGAAAGAAAAAAGAAAATTACGTGTTATTTGTCTTTTTGAAGAACAAATAACATTGGATTTCGCGGAAACGAAACGAGATCTGTACTTGAGATGCACACAGTTCAAGCACCCGCCGAACACCTGACCTCATAGCGGTCTCGAGAGAGAAAGAGAAAGATTGAAAACATTAAATTTTATTGCGAAAAAAAACGAAGCGGCTCATTTTTGTACAAGCAAATGTAAATGTCAATTCAAGCAACTAAATGATACAAACAGCTACGGAAAAAATATGCAACAAGTACCCAAATATTCAAACAAAAAAAGAGAATTCCTGATATGGAAGCGTGTTGGCGCCAGGCGGCATAAATGAGACAAAAAAATAAAAGAGTTGGTCACAAAGTGAATATTTGTGTGGAATTGCTTTCTCATTGATTTGGACAAAATATCATATTGATGGATGCAAAATAGGGAGCGATATACCCGCATTAGACCAATACAGTTTTGTTGACCGAAATGTATCTAGGTTGGAGGAAACGTCTCCAATTGAAAAGTAGAACTGAATGGGAATATCGTGTCGAGGTATCAGCTAGCTAACTACGGCGGGGGGAATTCTAAGCCATAAATATTTAAAATTATTTACAAGATGCTTAGAAGAAGATAAAGGAATGAATGATGGTGGTTCGAATTGAAGTTTTAAAAGCTGAGTCGCTGATCAGCCAATCGATTGTGCGGCTTGATGCTTCCGTAGTATCGCAGAAGGAAGTTTCGAATCTGGAAAAAAACAACACATTCAGATTTCAAAGTGACTGAGGAAAATCGATCGCTCATTCGGATTCCGAACTCACTTGTCGTCTTGAGAATTGTCCGCCCGAATGGCACGTCGGACATAAAAACGGCGGTGGGAATTGCATTTTGGTGAACTGCGGGTCTTCGGTTGGATCACCATGAAGCCGATTGTTGACGATGTTGTGGGCACGCCACAGATAGGTCATCATATCGTGTGGATGGCGAACACGTCTCACGGTCAATGGGAAAAGAGTTGTCGTCATATGCATGAAGTGATTGCGGCAGTGCTCGCAGCCGAAGAAACTCTTTACCCATCCTTGAATGTTCTTCAACGGCTTCATCGGATCCACAAAATCGTCCTTGATGGTGTCGATGTAAGTATGAACGGTGAGTGCGTGGAATGTGGTCCATAAGCCGCATGTGTATCCGCGGAACATTGGAGAGCTTCCCTTGCAGTGTTGCCAGGTCGAGTTGACAGGGAACGGGCTTGCATAGACTCTCTGAAATTCGAACATGGACGGCATTAATGGGAAATCCATGGAATCACCTCAACACTCTCGAATTGTCGTCGGTATTCATCAACTGAAACCATTCCACTGTTTCGGCGACTTTCAAGGAATTCTCGCATGTGAGTGAATACCAATCGAGCTCGTTCGCTGTTCCGAAGGATCTAAAAATATGTGTCATATGTGTTCATATCAAGATTTAAGTGGATTACCACAGATGTTGTTCGCTTCGCTCGGGCTCGACGAATGTCGTTTTGGAAGGAAAGAACTGGGAAATGCTAAACATTTGATTTTTCTTATTGGAGAATCTTGCATTCAAGGTTTTCTTACGTTGGAAAGCAGGGTGACAAAATCATAGAGATTGGTAAAGTTGTCGCCGCGAATGATTCCTGGAACTCGCGTGACCTCATCCAACAACGCCATTCTCATCGCCTTGAGCATATCGGTCTCCGACACGTAATACATATCGCGACATCTTTCCGGATATTGATGGCAATCGATGTACGGCGCGAGAGTTGTCGTCGAGATCGGCGCCAGAGTTGTGGTCAAGATTGGCACCGTTCCGCCGGATTGCGTCGAATCATTTGTGATGGTGGCGTCGAGATCGGAATAGGTCTGATTGGTGAAACGCTGCATGTAGAGCGCCTGCTGATGATCGCGTCGGAACAATGCGACCGTAGGGAAATTGCGGATGTTGAGCATCTGGACGAGTGGCGAGTTGGACAGGGCGCGTCGAGCTCCCATGGCGTGTCGTCTCGACGACATATCCAAAACGAACTGAAATGGGATCGATTACAGGATTGGAGCAAGGAAATGAACATACCTGTGCTCCAACACCGTCGTATTCTTCGAAGATGATCGCCAAATAGTTGGCCGATGCCGGAATCCCCTCCCAAAGTTGTCCATACGTGGTTCGACCATCGACGATGAGATGAGCGAGATTCGGCCAGTCAGGGTATCTAAACAAGGATTTTCCTTTTCTCGATCAAAAATCGAATTGTGCTTTCCAACCTGTTGAACATGTACTCATTGCTAATCGTGTGCATCAACGTGTCTCGAATCTGTTCAGCCGAATGCGGCGTCTCAAACAATTTTCCTTGAGATGCGCTCCTGGCGGTTCTGGGAAAGTACTGGAAAAAAAAGAAATGAAAATCAATGTTTTGCAATTATGGTAAATATTTGTTGAGTCAACAAAAAACCGTTTCGTTTTTTTTTTTGGGTGATCATTCGATTTATTTATTGTGTTGGTTTTGTTGGTTGTTTGTGAGTGCGCGCGTGTGCATTATGTAATAATGATACAATCGGAATGGTGTCAAAAAGAAAACTCCCTACAATTTTTGCAAACTTTCAACTCGGTTCTTTTTTCTTTCATTTTGCATCGTGTGTTCCTATTTGTCTGGTTTAGTTGTGAATTTCGAAAATGAAGTGGCTGGCCGGCGACGTTTTTTACGCCATACCGCCCATGTTTCGCTTCTCAAATTACACCAATTGAAACGTCAAACGTTGGTATGGGGTTAGGCAAACACCTCGACAATTTCATTCTTTAGTCATGCGGATTCGGAGAGCCCATTTTTTTCGGTGTTTTGGCGAGGGTCTTCGCGTTTGGGCAGACATATCCCTACCTTCATCATTGGGAAGTAGGTGACGCCGTTCTCGCGGCACACTTGCAGATTGTATGAATCGGCGCAGTTGATGACGGCGACGTGGACCACTGAATGCCATTCGCGGACCAGTTGAGCGAATTGGCGGAAGTATGGAGCGAAGGCGCGACAATGGCCACACCTGAAATGAATTGGATTATCGTTGAATCCAAATCGATTCAGAATATGTGCAAGTTCGATTGAGCCGAGATTCTGTGCAGAAACCTCATTTATACCTCCGCCAACATCTTAATCGATTTAAATACCCACCAATCTGCGTAATATTCCACCAAAAATGCTTGATCCGAAAAGACAGTGTCGTTGAATGTCATCTGAAAAAACAGATCCCAATCATGCATCGAAATACCGATAGTCATACTTGATCAAGATGCATGATCGGCTCGAATCCTGGTGTGTACAGTGTTGGATTGGTGCCGATCGGCACATAATTGTATGACGATTGGACACATTCGCCGACATTGGCGAACAACACGAGTACACCGGCAAGCAGTAGAGATGGATGGAATCGAGATGTCCCGCGCGGATCCCGCATTCTGAAAAACCCAAACGAGCTTGAAAAGGTGAGTTCGAAGACGATGAAGAAGAGAAGGAAACTGTTGTGCGGCAGCAGCGAGGCCGGGGGGGTAAACGCACAAAAAATTGAGTAGATGCGAGGAATGGAATGGGCGGAGCCACAATTGAGTCAAGCAACGAAAATAGCGCAAATAATGGATATAAATAAGAGAGAAGGAGGAGGAGGAGAGAGGCAGGTCGGCCGGCAAACTGGTTATTCATAAATATAGGTTTGTAGTGTTAATTTAGCGAAATGAACAAGATTCGCGGAATCAATAAATGAGAGCTGACAGGGTTGAGGCGCTGAAAAGAATGAACGTCGCGCTTCCGGGCATCATCTGGCAATTGTTGTGATAAATAGCTGAACGGAGCACCGGATAACAAAACAACCGCAACAACATTTCGTCACAATGAATGAAAAGCATTAGAAATTGAATGAGAAAGACGGAAGGCGAGTGGCGAGGAAAAAAAAATAAACGATATGAATGATTGGGAAGGGGCGGTCGGGATGGGAACCTCGAGATTATTATGTTCATTTTCCGGTGAAGCGACCGTGAAACGAATCGAGACAAATCCGATGATTGAGCGAAAACAACTCGCATTTTTTTTTCTCCGAAACCCGTTTTTGGTTGGAGGCGTTTCGAGAAAATGCACGCAAGTGAAAGTATGTGATTCGAAACATTTTTTGCGGTCGGCTTTTGGCTGCCTTTTACAGTGAAACCGCTAGATTGTTTTTACCTTTCAATCGGCTTGTGTCGACATTGAATCACCAAGAGTTTGAAAAGCAGAAAAATGTTTGTTGAAAATTGAAAACGATTTGAAAATGAGCGCCAAGCGGGTTTCACGCGCTCTTCATTCACTCAAAACGTGACGAGGTCATGAACTTTTGAGGCGAAGTAGGTCAACACTGTTTTCTGTTTTTTTTTTTAATTTCTGAATATAGTCAAAGACGGACGAAGTTCGGATCTGATTACTGTAACATTTGAATTGTCGCTTTGGGTCTCGTATGAAAAAAAAACGTTTAGAAGATAGGTTTAAATAATTTACAGAATATAAGTCGATTTTATGCAATGGGACATTTTTTTATTTTTAATAATCGCACGCAATTGAAAATGTTGAAACTCGTCCATCCATGGCTATAATTCGCTTTCAACGTTCTTGGGAAGACCATTCTGGTGTCTATAAGCTGGTTAGCTTAGATCGAGACGGTTCAAATATTGCTAGTCGATATGTGAGTTCGACTAGCGAACATGATTATAAGCATGATTAAACGAGAATCAAACACTCAAGAAGAACAGTCGTCTGCGAGGCCACACACACACACACACACACACACACACACACACACACACACACACACACACACACACACACACACACACACACACACACACACACACACACACACACACACATACTACAGAAAAAACGCGAACGAGTAAACGCTCGTCGAGCAATGTGATCGGTTCATGAGCTGATAATAATGATAGTGATTTGGCGTGGAGGTGGGTGATGCTCCACACAGTGAAAGCTCGCGCACAACCGCGCGGCGTCTCGCTGGCGCCCGACGAGACGTGCGAAATAGCGCGCGAGACGAAGAGGCGCAGCGTCGCTTACATGGCGCCGGTGTGGTAAAACGGCGGTGTTGATCGAGACAGGATAAACTGAGAGCGCCGAGCCGCCGAGCCGCCGCCACTCTGATTCTCGCCACAATCGATACTGTATTGCATTCCTCAATTGGGATTTAACCCATACATACACAACACATGGCGCCTTGCCTCCCTCCCGTGGGCCCGTTTTTCGCACCATCCTTGCTTGTGTGCAACCTCAGAGCCCCCCCCCAAAACGGTGTTTGTGTGTTGAACGAAGCAACACGAAATAAATAAGAGGTGCGCAGACGTCTCATTTTTTTTTCTCATCTTCATCATCCTTGTCGTCGAGTGTGCGCATTTGAAAATAATTGATAAGGGAATGAGATACGAGGAGCCATCGAAAAATACTTAAAATCAGCATTTGTCAACAAGTTTGTCCGCGGATTTTATAAATAGAAGGTTGGTTGAGGAAGACGGGAGTGATGGGGGGATAGTTGGTCGAAACCTGTTGACTTCCACAAGAACAGTTTGTGTGTTTGTATCACATGCCGGTATGATGTTTGAACAATTTTTGATTTGCTCCTCAATTATATTACATTGATGAGTTTCGGAGGGAAGCGAAGATTCGCAAATGGTATGCTTCAAAAATCTCGGAATGACACGATTCTCAAGACACTTTAATTTAGCAAAATATTTCATTCGTAAATTAATGAACACCTTGCGCCGATTTACGGCAAGTTAGCCATACGGTATCCGAATTGCCACTGCTTAAATTCGAATTTGAATTACCGCCTTGAAAAAGTGCGATGGTCCACAAATTGTCAAAGTGCTCATTTTTGCTATGGGTAATACCAAAGACAATTAAGTATGTAGATTTACTGGCTAAGGATAGGTTAAAGGTGCACAAGACCTCCGCTCAACATATTTTTGGATATTAGCAAATTAGGCTCGTGAGGCTGACAATTTCAATGTTTAACAAAAATATTTTACAATTTTGGATAAATCGTGATTTTTAACATTTTCATCTGTGGACATACATAATTAAAAAATTCAGAAATTTAATTTTTGTTTCAACAACCTATTTTTGGACATCGAACCATCATCCCAAGTTGGTCATTCTTCGGTTTGAGGAAGTTCATAGTTGATAACAGACTCGCGCAAAATAGGAGACTTTGAACATCGAATCAGCTGATATGATTTGTGATCAGCGGACAAAAGTCTCGAAACCGATCTTCAATTGTTTGTTGCTCTCGATTCGCCAAATCATCTAGTACAAAAACGATAAAGGCGAAGAAGAAGCGTACGCAAATATTTGAGAGCACGGTAACATTGAAAAAATGCTCATCATTATCATGAGTATATGAGAAGAGCGGCAAAAAAAAACCGAAAAGACAATAATGGATGGAGGCCAAGCGAATATAACACACACTTGGGCCGTCTTTTTTTTCCTCTTTTCCTCGCTTTTTTGTTGCTTCTATTCAATGCGCGAGAATAATCGCATTGAAGTGTTTGAGTGTGTGGTTGGCGATAATTGAAACACGGCATTTTGCCAAACGTTTGCGTGCCATCTTCATGATGAGCACACGTACGCGCGCGAGCATGCACGCGAGTGTGAAATATCGTGCTCCGATTCGTTTTTTTCGCACGGAGCTTTTTTCTTCGTTGGGATGATTAACAATCAAACATCAACGCACAAAAAAAATCTGGAAGTCGAAAATGAGAACGCTTCAAAATGATTCGATCATTTATATCGAAGCTGGTTTTTTTTTTCGGGAATAACCATGTAATTATCGTTTCAGGGAATGATTATCACCTTTTTTTCTTAATTATTATCGAAAATTGAGAATTCGAATGAATATTAGATATTTCGGCGATTTGAGATGATAATGAATCTGAGAGAATTTTGTTGGGGTAGATTTACGAGCACGATCATTTGCGATAAATCTCGTATGATTATTCTTCTAGTTGGTTTGAAGAAGTAAAAAAAAATCGCTGCGAGACCATGCAAGTCTACCTGGGGGGCAATAATTTCAGGGGCCCATTCATTTTCAAAATCAATTTGGGAGGCAACGAAGAGGCATTTCAGAAGAATTGCAAAAGAAGCGTACTAGCGTGTTTGTTCAAACCAGTTGCCTTAAATACCCAAACAAGGAAATCGTAAAAAAAACTGAGTCAAGTCGAATTCGGTTCAAAAGGTGTCAGAAATCAGTGGGCGGGTGTGGACAAGAGGCGAACGAAAAAAAATACGTGTGTTTGATTTGTGTACTCAACGCGCACAATCACCGAAATCGCCGCCGCCGCCGCGCAACCTTGCCGGGTCATTTCAGAAATGAATCACCAGCCAACAACAACACAACTTTTTTTTTGAAAAAGAATTGAAAATGGCGAATCGGAATGAATGAATTGGCGACTCATGGAATTTCAAGTATTTCTCCTCTCCATCAACCCAGCGCACGCCCACTTTTTCGTTGATAAGCAATTATGACGGAGCACATCATCGCGGTGACACAACACAACATATTTTCATTTTTTTTGTATTTCAATGAGAAAAAAGAAGAAAAAGAAATAAAATGACGAAGAACTGAAACAACGCGCGAAATGGCATTTGTGTCATTAAAAATAAAGAGGCGAAGAATTGAATGGAAAAAAGTTTCGAGTTTCTAGAAACTGGGAATTCTACAAATTTGGTCATGCGAATTATTAGACGGTCCATGGAAGCTAGAAGAACAATCGCATACTTTGGGAAAACCATCTGCGGACAATACAATGCTTCTAAAAAACAGCAGATTCTGATCATGAATTCAATTTAAATCCGAGAAACAAACTCTAGGCGATTTCGGAAAAAAGGGCAAGAAGAATGGATTGAGAGGAGGGTTTCGAACACAAATGGACAAAATCCGCCTGATCGCCTGCTTAGTGGATAATTAAGCAAGCAGCAAGGCCTATTTTATCTAAGGCCCGAATCTGGTTTAAGAAGACGCAATTTGCTCTAGGAATTGAAATCGCCGAAATGAACATATTGCGAGGTTCGGATGATCGGAACTGAGAAGGGCAATCCCGGTGAAATCGTCTGTCTCATTTGTTGGGGCCGCAAAAAAAAAATGAAAATACATGGCGCTAGAGAGGGCTGAGATTCGAATGGGTTTTGCGAGTTTGTCCAAACACTTTTCAAACACGTACCGACCTCTGAGAGCGCGCAGGAAACAAAAAAGTTGGTTAGACGAACGCGACAATGTGCAAATGTCGCCTCTCGTCCCGTCTCGCGTCATCCTGTACGCTTTTAACCGAATCGATGGGCGGAGTTTCAACCAGGGGGGGGGTGGGACGGAATGAGTGACCATTGCGAATGGTCATCGGGAATGAACATTCTTGGTAGCCATCTGAATGA